TTAAACCCTGAAAATGCATTTGCTTGTTTTTGTTGCACCAGCTTAATGGCAGTATTCCATAATTTAGTTTGATAGACTGGAGGTTTGCAATGGTAACTCATGCATTATGGAATTACTAATGAAATCTAATTTTATCATATTGAAAACATGACAGGCTTAGAGCTTTTATTTACCTCTGTCAGGGGTGGATTAAGATTATAGTGTGCTACATCCACCAAAGCTTTGGCTTTCACCCCCTGAAAAGTTTGGATGGCTACAGATATGTGCTGGCCAAGTGCGGCTAATGAGTTCCAGACTCTTTGCCAGACCCCTTTGCCTAAATCCATGGACTGCAAGCACCCCTGAGTATCTCAGTATGGTGTGGGTGCTCCTGCAAGCAGAAGTAGTATTGACTGCAAGTAGTTATTCTTTGGTTTGCTGAAAATACTGATCCAAAAAAAGCTGTTCCATCTGGGATGCAAGAAGTTAGACTGAAAGACCAAAAAAGTAAAAATTGTTGCACTTTCCTTGCTGAAGTTTGGTTCTGGGAGATGACTGCATCAGTATGTGAGGAAAGAATTCCTCGTGTGTCACTGTTCAAAGACAGGTAAAAAAAGCAGTCGACCTGAAACCAGTGTTGACCAGAGTAGGGATGTTTTCTGCATAGGAAATATTTTTCCGATCAAATGCTAAACTGCACTGTATTTGACCAACCTTGCATGATAACACTGGATTTTTTTTTTCCCGTTCAGCTATAGAACTTAATTACTACTTTTTAAAACCCCAAATTGATTAGCAATGGTTCCTGCCACCTTTACACAAGGGGAGGACATCTGCCTCTGGAGCGCTTGTAGCTCTGATTTGTGCTCGGATCGCAACTGGATCGCTTTGTGCTGGAGCTGCCCCAACTTTGGGATTTTTACTATATCCCAGCTGAATGAGGATGGTCACATTAAGAAAAGCTTGCTAATGATTCTTAATCTATTCTGCTGCTTTTTAAAGTCTACATGTAGCCTTTCTTGGAAAAGTCTCTAACCCTATTACGAATAAGTTGAAAAATGAGCCAGGAGGTGGTAAGTGATTGGTGTCCCATTCGCTAAAGTTTGAGATAAGGTACACCAGGTTTCCAGACTTACCGATCTCCTAAGCGTGTGGCTGAGTTGCCTTTTCTGAAGGTTATAACTGAAAATTATAGTTCAGTTAAAAGGTTAGTTACGCTTTGATTCCGTGCTGGTTGTCCCGGCTCAGGTTGGTGCTGCTGAAAGGATCATCTGCCACTGGAAACTTGGCTTGACGGAACTCCTTTCTGCATGGGTGTCATTCTTCCACCAGGATTTCCCCCTGCATCAGGGAGAGGAGAAGGCAGAGGCAGGAGCTGCTGGTACTCGGCTTGCCATGCTGGGAGCTTGCCCCGCAAGGACGACTGATAGCTAGTCTCTTTGTCGGCAAAGTCCATTTCCTTTGCTCTAGCAAAGCAGAGTAGGGAATTTCAGTGGGGCTTCTTTGGGTGCGACTGTCTTGAGAATCCATCAGCTTGTAGAAGAAATTACTCAATGTTATCTGGCTCTGGAGATGGTTTTGTTTTGGTTTTTCCCCTTGTTTCCCTTACACATTGTAACTCTCTAGTGATTAGGTTAACAAATATACCTTTCAGGAGAAAAGGGTTTTTCTGTACACATCCAATTTTTCTGCTGGAAACTGAGTATGTGTACCCACTTTAAAACACTGTATGTGTGTGTAAAACAGATGCACGCACTTTCTGAATATTATATGTTATTGCATGTAATTGGTAGATTCATGGCATTATAAACTGGAGTTTGGACTGTTGTGTTCCCAAACCCATGGGATTACCTGGTGATATGAAGCGTCCCAGTGAAGGCAAACACTTTTACCAGAACCTCCATTCACTGCAGACCTCTGTCTTGGAGGTGGCCCATCTTGACAGCAATTGCTGTCTGTTGTGTGGTTTTGGGTGTTTGATCTCCAAAAGGACAGGACTGATCCCGTTATTTGGAGTGGCAGAAATTGAACTATGTATCATTGTCAGATAGATACTATCCTGATTAGTGAATTGCTACAGTTTACAGCTTTCAAAAAAACTATCAAAAAATAATTTAAAGCCTTTTTTAATTCCCGTAGCTTGCACAGCTGAATGCTCTCCTTTCCCATTAATGCCGGTAGCCCTAATAGTTGCAGCAACAAACTATGTAGGAAATTATTTATGGCAGTTTAAATTGTAAACTGGTTGCAAGTGTAAGTAAATGAGTGCTGAGCTCTATCGCTTTAAGAATTTGAATGGAAATATTCATCATGCAGGGGAATAAATTACATAGGAATAATTAAATGTCTTGTGTGAGTTTTTTCTGCACATCTCATTTGATATATTTGCTGTTGTATTCAGTGTTTGGACTTTTGCAGGCTTTCAGGGTTCACAAGGTAATATCTATAGCACAGGCAGAAGTAAAGAAAAATTATCTTTATATTTACCAAGGAGACATACATGTGCGTGGAGACACACACATATCCTAGGCTCAGGCTGATTAAGTGGTTTTTGCATCTGTTATGAGACAGATGAGACCTTCATAACTCTGTTTTCAGTTTCTTAATGTCCCTGTTTTCTGTCATTTACTTCCTTTGAACGTCCCGAGCATCAGCCATTCATACAGATGAGTGCTGCGGCTCTCTGGGTCCCCTGGGTGACATGGCTGAGATCATTCTGAAAGACTCTTATTCTCTGGATTTGAAAATTAATTCTCTTTATATTTTAATTTCCATCCCAGCTGTCTGTGATCTTTAAAGAATATTTAATTCTGTTTGCTGGCTCTGTTTCTTGATTGAAATTTAAATAAAAGCTCACCCATCACATTCTTCTTGGGCAATTTATTAAAAAAATGTTTTTCAGTGCAGAATAATTATGTGATTGCATCAGTTGGAGTCTATTGTGTGCAGTTTAAGCCTGATGTCTACAGTGATGACTGAGAGGGAATAAATGGCTGCCCAGGCTGGCCCAGGGCAGGTAGGAGACTTCATCAGTGGCAGTTCTCACAAAACACTCGCACACAAGATTATTCACAGCCCGTTTGCTGGTCCACAGAGCCCCAGATATGTTTCTCCTTTCACACATGCTAAAAGCCATGGTTTTACTTCTCCTCTTATCTGTGCTGCATTGGGGTCAGTTAAACAGGGGAATCCTCACTGTCCTGTCTTCTCATTATACTGCAAACCTCTGACACTTCACTCCCCTGACAGAATATCTTCACTAAAAAGTGTCTGTCTCATGCCAGTTACATTTACCAATGGGCTAAAAATGAAAGAGAATGGTGTTTTTTTAAAATCTTTATCTGAAAGTGGAAGGTGTCTGCAAAGGTCTTGGTGTCTGAGGAATTTATGACTCCTTTCCCCATCCTTTCTTGCATATATCAAATGAGAGAAATACAGTATACTAGATGATATTTAATGCCTTGGAAAGTAACTATCCCTCCTAAGAAATGAAAGGTGACATTTGTCCTTGGGAGAGACAGACATTGCTGATGAGCTACTGAGTGCATCTGAGGTCTCTGAAGCTCATACAGGTCTAAAGATCTTTGGTCCTGGAAGATATTTTGACATCTGAGGTTTAATTCTCATCTTCATTAGGAATCTTATGGTTGAAATCACGTTACATGAAAACGTACATCTTTTTACATATGCTCTTCTATGAATTTCTGGTCTGCACTTCCTGCTGATTAAGACTTTAAGTTATTGGTTTACTATGTACAACATAGTCTGTTAGGAGAAGTTATAACGCTGGGGTTTGGACTGTATGTAGCAATATGTGTTGCTAATTTATATGCCTCGGATGCTGATAAAAATAAAGATCAGAAGTAGTATTTCATTCCTCATGGAAAACAGATCAGACTCTGTTGATGGAAGACTGCCCTAGATTCATGAATGAAGTATTGACTCATTAGCAGGGTTGATTCAGAAAATGTTTTCTTCCCCCCCCCAAGTTAGGTGGTGTGCTTGTTTGCAATGTCAGAATGTTTGCAAACAAAATAGAGATTATCCCTTTCCTAGGATGAAATTATTTGTACTGTTTGAAATTTGTTGATATTTTTCACGCTCGGTGAAGAGTAATTGGCACATAGGCAATTCTGACAAGAGAAATGCAGAGAGGCAGTAGACTTCATCAGGAGGAAAATACATAGGCCAGCCAAAGGAACATATTTCAAATGTAGATCCTTCCCTGCAATAGCAGATGGGGCAATAGTGTCCAACATGCCCCAGTACCTGACAAGACTCCAACCTTCCTTTGCAGCAGCCAGCAAACCAGCAAAGCGAGTTACTTCATTTATGACCCATCACTTTTAATGGATGAAATGTTATGAACTTTTTAACACTGTTAGAAAATCTTTTTAGAAAGAAAAAAGCTTGGTCAAAGGTAACTCCCTCCCATAAATTCAGGAAATTATTTCATGTATTATTTAAACACTCTGTTAGTGATTTGCTTTGGCTAGTTCTGGCAGCAATCTGTTGAGGAAGACAGGTGCCTTGTCATTCTTGTCAGAAAGTACCTCTAAATATCTGTCAGGCTATTACTTATAGCAGTTGTCTATTTTTCAGGCTTCTCTAAGAGACTGAAGTTCAATAAGAAGTATTTGATTAAGAAATGTAACTTGTGTACTGTGGCATGCTTTTTTCAGCCTAATGAGTTAAACCCCAGTGTACTGTGGCATGCTTTTTTCAGCCTAATGAAAACCTGTATTTATTTACAATCTATTTGCAAGGTTTGCAAAGTGATTTTTTTTTTTTGAATTAAATGTACTTTGTGTGTTTGTGTTTTCATATGCTGTTAAATTATTTACTGTGGAGCATACTAAGGCTTTTGGTTATATAAACAGTTAAATACATGTATACATACACTCAAAGTGTGTAAAAACACTACAACCGTAAATTAAAGGATTATGAAAGGTGGTGGCTTTCAGTTTTGTTGGAAATGGGTTTTAATCTTTTTTTGTGGTTTTTGTTTGTTTGTTTTACAGTTAAAGAATCTGAGTTTAGAAGAATTACAGATGCGATTAAAGGCTTTGGACCCTATGATGGAACGAGAAATTGAGGAGCTTCGTCAGAGGTACACTGCAAAGAGGCAACCTATCCTAGATGCGATGGATGCAAAGAAACGGAGGCAACAAAATTTCTGAGTTTGTTTTACTTTCAGAGATAATGCTATGAGTCAGTGTGGACACTGGTAACTTTGTAAGTCTGAAGGAATTCGATTATGAGAGTTTTCCAAAACCTAATCTTCTGAATTTTCCTTCACGAGCAATGACAATTGGAGCAGTGAAAGAACATACATATGGTGTTCTGCAAAGGCAGCGAAACACATTACCACCTGTTTGTATTTTCAAATATTTAATGTAACAGAAGTTTAATCTGTTACTTCCCAATCTTTTTCAGGTGTAGAGTGGTAACTTGGTGTTGTACGTTAGGAGTTATGTTTTGGAACACCTGGAACTATTTCTTGATTGTGCAACACTACAGAGCCTTATGTTGCAATATATTTTCCTCCCACTTAGTAGCATATTTATTATGTAATCTTTGATTATCCTATTTATTTTATGCCTGTTTTCTTTTTTATTAGGAAGCATGAGGATAATACTGTGGAGAGCAGAGCCAGATTAGATAAAATTGTTATTGTAGCATAATGAAAAGAAGCTCACTACTGTATTATCTTTTAAACTCCAATTTCAGCAACCATCCCAATTCAGGACAGCACTTGAGCATGTATCCAGCCCATTCATATCAGTACGATTTAAGCATAAAATAAGGAATAGGCACATGTTTTTCTGCTCTCCTGGATCAGGGACTGTGGCTGTAGTTGAGCAATACAGTTGTTACACTACAGAGCATTCTTTTAGAGAGTTTCTGTCATTTTTATGCACACTGAATGATCTCTCTAAACAAGAAAACAAGTGCCTAATCACTTTTGATTTTTCTGTTATTCAGGAGGAGCAATACTTGCAGTCACTCCTTCAGTGTAAATTTCCAGTTGCTATAGTAATTCTGACCAGTATAAAACTCTATTTTGTGCCATAGTTTTATAATGAAGTAATAGCTACACTTTCTGGATGTGTTTTTTGGTTTGTTTAATTTTCTTATCACAGTTTTGAGGGGAGAGGGGAGTTCTTAGTGGTGTGGGTTGGGTTTGGTTTGGTTTCATGTTATAGATACAAAGGGATAGTAATTTAAAAGCCAAAGAAAATGAATTGAAAACTTACATGTAAGTACTGAAAAGAAGCAACATTTTGCAGTCCTTTGAGGGTTTTGTCCTGCAATCACTAAACATTCAAAATTCCTGTAGTCTTCTGTGGTAGATTTTGGGGAATCAGAAATGCAGGACCAAGCTCTTAATATCTTTTTATAAGTTCTTCTGTCTGGTTTATATTGTGGGATATCTAGTAGGTAGAATTTACAACATTGCAAAAAAGATTTCAGACTTAGCAGAAAATGTGATCCACTTTCTGAACAATCTACTGTGTTCTCTGTTGATATCTTTACTATTGTTGCCTTTTGTGTCAGTAACTTTACTGTGATAGTCATACATCTTTAAACAATACAGCTGAAGAGATCTTTACATTCAACCTGCAGCTGTTAAACTTTTAATGGTGACTATTGTATGGGCATCTTCTGTTAAATGTTTTCTGGAAGTTAGTAATCATCTCATACCTCTTAACATTTACCGTCAGCATACGTGGACCATTTAGATGGAACAGTGCAGATTTTGGAAACGGTGCATTATAATATAAAGCTTACGCAAAAGGAAAACAAAAGTATTTACAAGATCAGCATACTACAGCTGCGCTGGGACCAGTACTTGGGTTTGAGCTGTGTACAGCCATTGTTGTCATTGTTGTTCCGTGTGTGTGTTTGCGTGCACGCCACACTCTTAACATGTAAACCCTAGAGTCAAATCATCAAAAATCACATTTTAATTGTGATTGTTAGAACATACTTACCCTCAACTCTCTTCATATTTCTTAAAGTAATTCCCATCCCTTATGAAAAATCAAGAACACAGAAGATCCATAAAAATTACTTTAGGCAAGCTAAAATGCACCTGGGTAGTTTTACGCCTCTTATTTATACAATGAAATGATGTGATGTAAAAAATGGTGTAATCATCACGGTGTCAATTAGGTTACATTCATAATGCAGCAAAAAATAACAGCACCAACCTGCCCCTATTAATATGGTTCTTATTTATTTAAAACTAATTTCTAATTCTTGAACTTTCTGTTCTCAAAAACTCAAAGGAGTGTGTGCGTGCATATGTTTGTGTAGGTATACATACATATATGCGCATATCTGTGCATATAAGAAAAATACAAAACATCTAAACCATCAGGAGAGGAACCCAGCTTCCTTTTCTTGGTGTGCCTTTTAAGCAAAGTGTCACTGTCTAGACATTCTTGCTTGCATCATTAGCAGCTTTCTTTTCCCTGACTCTCTTAAGCTTTTCCCACCAAAAAGAAGACTTTAATTTTGAATAATGTGGCTTTACAGTGTAATAGCCGTTGTAATAAAATTATCATAATTTTCATATTTTGCATATTCTGAAAACTTCAGTAATGCAGTGCTCTAAATATGAATTGTCTATCCAGAGGGGCTCCAGTAAAAGGCCATTTTAGACTAGAGTTGTTGCAGTCTGACATCTAAAAGGTATCAGAAGATAAAGGACATCCTTTCTTCACTCCTGATCTGTCTGCCTAGAAACATTCCAACAAATTTTGTGCACATGCATGCACACAGGTATGGATTATACATGCAGGAGAAAAATTTGAATGCCATGAAATAAAATGAGTGAAAAATAGCTTCTGATATCCTGTAAACTGGGTAGATACGGGATGTTTGTGACCAAAGAATACTTTTACCAAGTGACATGAAATTAGCAATGTTGCCCTTCTGATATGGTGCATGCTGCAGTCAGTGTAAGAGCTGTCTTTGGCTTCAGAAGCCTATATATTGGGCTCTAAATTATGTGCAAGCGTAACCCATAGAAATAGGTTTTATATTGGGAGATGGATACAACTAATTTTTTCTTTCTTCTGTTTATATCAATCAATCAAATCATCCATGGTGATGACTTCACATCTCTACTGGAGGATGAGCATCTCTGTAAAGGAAAGCCAATAGTACAATAAATGAGACATTTTAAAAGCAAGCCTTGCAGGAAATCTGGTAGAACTACTGACAAGTTAACCTTCAGTAAAATTTTAATCAAGCAATTTCTTGTTTGCTTCTGACTTGTATGTTTAGGTTTAGTAAGTTAAAAAAAAAATTGAAAAATCATTACTTATTACTAAACATTTGTAATAAAAGCTAATTTTTCATGTATAATTGTCGTCTTGTTGTTCATTCTAACTGAAGCTAAATTATGTTAATAGTAACCATTAATGTTCATTTCCATAGTCATCTCTCATGCTTTTATTTCCTTTCTATAATACTGTGAGCCCAGCTGTGAGTGCAGAAAACCACATCTATCAAAGTCAGCCTGGAAAGGATTTATCCAGCTCAAGACATTGCTGCAAGCTCTAAAAGTTTGAGGATCTCAATGGAAGAGTATCAGCCCAGTCTAAGGACAGAAATCCTCAATACTTTGTGGAAGTCCCTCTCTGCAATCTAAGGTTGCTAAAGTCCTGATCCTGAGAGAGCTGAGCACCACCCCAATACACTGAAAGTCTTCATAGACATCCTTTACTTGGAGGTGCTAGCAAACATTAGCAGCTTTAGGTGCTCCTTTGATTTTCTGGGAGGTAATAGATGGGTAATGGATAGGCTTAACTAGGAAAAGCAAATACATTTAATTCTTTTCTGTTTTTTTAAAAAATTATTACCTAAGAATTTGCCCACAAAGACGCTTTAGTAAAAGGGACTCATGAACAAAACTCCTTAGTGAACCAAGGTATGTTTGAAGTGACAGAATTCTACTGCTGATCTGAATTAATCTGACAATTGAAGGATATTATAATTATTTACTGTCTCTTTACAGTAAATAATAGCTTACCTGTATTTGCCCAGGTATATTCAGGTGAGAGTGCAGAGTGGCTCAGGCTGCTTCTCTGTCCAGTGTGTTGACCTTCCAAATATAAATACAGCTCACGATGACTGAATCCGTGCACAAGTACATGAGATGGCTTTAGTCACCATTAATAGGCTGGTGCTTCCAAGCAGAGTGTGTACTGTACAACTTCTGTAAAGCACTTTGTGTGCACGCTGTTTTATCAATGTGATATGATGAGGGTTACATTTTCTTTTTAAGTGTATACGTGGTTATAAAACTAATTAAAAAGAACTTGTGAGGAAGTCTTTATTTCTTTGCATTCATAAGTATCAAGGGCTCCAGCTTAACTGTGGCATTTCTTTCTGTACTCCCAAAGGCGATGATGGATGTTCTATAATGTCATACAGCTGGCTGGGAAATTGGCTTTGGGTTATTTCTATACGTGGCTGTGGTGCAGCAGTGTTATGCCCACTGTCACCAATGAAAGCCTTGGAGAAGACAAGTCCTGGGTAGCGCATGGTGTTTCTCACCATTGTGTTGTGCCAGGTGAGGTAATGGCTTAATCTTTTGGGGGGAAGGCAAAATTACATTGATGGTTCAGTGTGAAGTCATTAGGCTGCACTTGGGGACTTGCCCTGTTAAGTCTGTTTTAAAATACCTTTTCACAAAATGTGTTTCTCTGTTTAGTGTATTCATTACACTAGGAAGGGGACTGCCATTTACACAGTGTGCTCTCATCCTTGTTTTGTTTTGTTTTAATTTGTTACGGTTTTTAAAGAATACTTGAAAATTACCCATGTTTTGCTGCTTCTCTTCCCGCTGCTCAGGAAGATGGCTGTGGGCACTACTTTTAAGAGCATCCCCTGAGCCAGGTGTTCTTGGGACGTTGTGCACAAAGGCAAATGTTAGCAACAGCTTTTCTTCTCTTCTTCTGTTCAGAGATCACTGAAGTAAAATCTCGGCTGTCCTGTTCTCCCTTCATTTGAAAATATGGGTTGTTCAGATTCTTAACCAAATCTTTCTCTTTCAGAATATTTTAGTCCCAGACAGACTAGATACTAGGTACTTTTTTCCGTTGTTTGCTTCACTGATTCCTCGGGATAGAGTCACGCTTAGTTTCACTAGGCCTTAGAGAGTCTTCTAGGTTAGAGAAGAGCTACATTTGTCACAGAAACAGGAGGAAAGAAATCATTTTAAAAGTATTTCTTTGGGGAGAAAAGAAAAAGTGTATGGCATTTACATCTGGCCAGGTGGCTTATGTGAGGAAAAGTGTTGAGTGACAAAAGTGAATCAGGTAGTCGCCTATGTAACTTACTGTTCTACATCACTGTTTCACATCTGATTTTCTTCCATTGATGTTTATTGTCTTTTATGTTTGTGCTTTATTTATTCAGTTGCCACTTTTAAAGATAGAAGTTTGAATTTTTTAAAATTTTTAAATGGAAACATACCATAACAGTGTCAAGTAAATAAACATGGGGGCGGGGGGGGGAAAACCCAAAGTCACTGGAAGGGTGCTGTGTTCTCCTCCTTTCCTCCCCCGCTCCTTTCTGGGGCTCATGGAGGGTTTTGACTGCAGATGGTGTTTGT